AACAAACTTTAAAACGGACGTTCGATGTTCCTTTTCTTCAGTCTTCAGAGTTTTCAGAGTCAGAGACAAATTCTGACTTTGAAGCATTTACTTTGGCGATTCTCTGTAATCGAAGGCTTCAGGCAAATGTCTTCTTTATCTGTAAGGTAGCGCGACACTGTCGAGGATATTTTTCTTCATTCCCACCGCATTGTTTTTGAAACGCGTTAGCTCCAGAAAGATTTCCTCTCGAGCGATATTCCTAATAAAGGAAATTCCCATGGCCGCGGTGACTGTCTTTAATGAATCAGTTCCACGCGCCCGCGAGCTTGCGCAATGAATAAAATCTAAACACGCGTTAAGCGATTTAATGCTCCGTATCGTAACTCATTAATCGTCAGCTAAACGTTTCCATTAGTCGGACGTATTAGATCGGCCGCTTTCCACCGTTTCCAGCGCGTTAATCCAGGAAACTATCACATGCATAACTTACGCAATCCTTGATGCGACTTTCTGCAACAGAATCTTTAAATTCACGATGGTTAATAGTTGTCTGACAAAAACATTAGATTGGGTTATGCAATGCGTAGATTCATTGTAATGAAGATCTGGTTGAAAACCTAGAGGATCCATAATTTACATATAATAATCAAGAGTAAATATTTCTACTCAAACTGTAATTAAATATCGAAATTCCAAATATAATGGCTCATTCATTTTGTGCATTTTATAGGTGTTGATTTATTGTAACGGAGATCAGGTTGAAAACCTAGATGATCCATAATTTAAATACAATAATGGAGCCAAGAGTAAATATTTCCACATCTAATACATCAATGCATCCACCACGATTGGCGTGTTTTGTAATTAAATACCAAAATTCCAAATATGATTGCTCATTCATTTTATCCAATATATAGATTCATCCTAATGGAGATCATGTTGAAAACCTAGAAGATCCATAATTTAAATAACAAAACCACGAGTAAATATTTCAGCTCAAACAGGTGTTATAAATAATCGAACATGAATGCACAGAATTAATATCTACATTTACACTTCTATTCTACGTCGATACATCCATCACATCTATTTTGTAATTAAATGCCAAAATTCCAACCGTGATTGCTCATTCGCGGCTCGAAGAATTAATGTCTGGCTTCCAAGAAAACACCGCGTGCATCGCAGGCGGAGGAATTCGCGTCGCGGTTGGAGCTAGTCGAGGCGACTTTCGAATCTCTGACCAGGATTCTCCTCCGATCTCCTTTTGCGAAGCGTCCGCGAGACTTTGCGTCATGTCCAGCGGAGAAGATCGCTGCCCCCGGGGGCCTGCTGGAGAAGATCGGTGCAGTGAAAGGAGAAAGGCGCCGTTTCGTCGAAACGATGAGAAAAAATTCGGTGTCTTCGAAGGAGGAAGTGGACTAAGGAAAAAAAAGCCAGCGAGAGGACGAGCATCGGCTACGCTTCCACAGGGGTTACGCAGTTGGAATCTCCAGCGGATTCTTCCAGGGATCGCGACCCTGGATCGACGAGGAAGATCGACGAGAAAAAGAGAAATTCCGTGGGAACGAATTTCGCTAAGGAACGACTTCCTGCGTTTTCTTCAAATTTTGTATTTTATAGAGCACTCTGTATTTAGGAGATTATTTAAATAACGATTCGGGTGAAGGTTTATTTAGTGAAAGTGAAAGTTGATTTAGTTTTGTAGTTCATGTTGCTGTGTATCTTTTATTTGTTGGTCAAAATTTTACGTAAGAATCGTACGTGCCCCGAATATCGCGGATATTAAGCGATACGTAATCGATTCTCAAAGTTTAAATTCTTCCTCTCGAGTTACTCTGAATTGGTCGTCAACTTTACTCAGACATTATGTAACCGAGTAACTCGAAATTTGAACGTTTATCGTCGACGTTTCTTCTTTCATATTTTTGAAAGAAATTTTCAAGTATCCCATATGTACGAAAAATGTTACCAGTCCCTGAATATTATAATTTCATTTACAGTCAATCCCATTCGTACCCTCTAAAAAATTTGTCTAATTTGAATGATAGGCTTCTTGTTTCCAAATCAATTTCCCATTGTAAACGTGTACATGAATAAACTTCCCACATGTACAATTACAAATTAATTTGGAAACATGTAGCATTCATTTAAATTTCTTCAATAGAAATAGAAGGGTACGAATACTTACGGGACTGTATATCTGATTATTATGGGACTAGGACATTCCCATGGCGAGGTCATATTTTATAAATAAATTAAAACTCCTGCATTTAAATTCTCTGATTTCAATAAATCTTCTCGAATTGATAATCAAATTTTGTTAAAAAAAATTCTCAAACATCCAACCCCTCCCAATATTCTTCCCTCCCCTCAAGGACCCGGGAACAAGGCACATCGATAGGGTTTCGAACACACGTCGCGAAATGTAACGAGTCTTGGGTTCTTTCAACGGTGGCGACGTTTTTTTTTATTTTTTTTCTACAAAAAAGCCTTTATACAAGTACAAAAATGCGTGGTTAAGAAATAGCGTTTGAACATATAAAAAATAGAGTGTATCTATACGTATGTGTAAAGGGGGATGAGGGTTCTGGGGTGTGTTTGTCCGCGTCAGCGCCCGCTCCGTTGTTCTCGAGATGCTTTTTCCTCCGTTTATCCTCCTCGTTTATTTCGCCTGAGCTCTCTTCCGGGCGCGCGTTGCGTTCCTCGTTATCCGGCGTTTCTGGACGACGATTTTCCATACTCGATCGATTTCGCCTCGCGATATGTATCGAGTCGCGCAACGCGGACGCCGTAAAGATCGCGTTTTACGTGTGAGCGTGTGTCTGTGTGTGGTTGTATTTACAAGGCGCGAATTACCTCGCGCCGAATCACGGCTTCGACTACGACTTCGGCTCCTGGCTCAACGGCCATCTTATCTCTGAGTCTTATGAATATTGCTACGGGACCCCGACGCGGGGGTCCCTTTTTGCGCGCGTTTAGTTTTAAGCTTATCACTGG